CCTCGCGGCCCGCACGCCCCGCGCGCCCCGGGCCTGGGTCTCCGAGTCCCAAGCCCTGGCCTCCAACGGCGTCGCCTCCCCGCCCGGAGCCGGGCGTCCGCGAATGTGCGGGCCGGAGATAAGGCAACGCTATTATTATTTTTCAGGAGCCTCCATTTGCTCCCAAGCGAAGTTGTAGTTTTCTGGATGATCGGGAGACCGGGTCCGGACCGGCCAGGGCAGAGTCGGGCCCTTGCAGAGAGCCCGCCTCAGCAAGTACCCCGGGGAGATCGGGCTGGAAGGATGAGGGGCTGCGGCCGTGCACTTCCGCCACAGTAGGAGGGATCTGAATTAGACGCTGGGAAGGAGTTGCAGGCTGTGAGGTGAGAAGCCCGGCGCGGGTTAAAACGGAGGCGTGTGTGTGTGTGTGAGAGAGAGAGAGAGAAAGCTTCCCCCTCTCCCTGGCCTAAAATGCCCTCCTGCTCTGTCCCTCCTCCGAGAACTGCTTTAAGCAAGCCCCGCCCCTGTGGGGACCCTCCAGTGACTAACTAACGTTAGTTCATTCATCAGGAATCTCCTCCTGAGCCTCCTACGCGCCAGGTGCCGAGGTGGTAAAGAGGAACGCGGCTGTCTGCTTAGAGATAATCGCAGTGGACAGCCTCACAGTAGGAACTGACTGCTGAAGGTGGGGTGCTGGGAGCCCCAGCGTGGGTGCAGACCTGAGTAATCAGTGACCCTGCAGGTGTGTGATGCGCGTCCAGAGAGGGGCAGGTGAGGAGAGCGGGTGGTGCCCAGATTAGGTTCCAGATACACGAACAGACGTGGAAGGGAATCTGGTGGTGGGACAGCTGTGATGCATCTAGTCAAATGCCTTCAGAGTCCCCTTATGAGTGTCTGTGTTATGTCTTTACTTTGGAAGCAAAGGGTTCGGAAGACGGGTTTTTCTGGTGCTACTCAGTTGCTTTGTTGCTTTTCTGGCATTACATCTCTACCTGCGACCTCACCTTGTGAGGTGTTGAAAGTTAAGATGCTGCCATGTTGGGGAACCTCGGACAGATGGGGGTGTGGAGGTCCAGTGGCCATGCCTGAGGATAAGGAGGGAACTGTGTGTGTCTCCACCTGCCCTTTCACTTTCCCTGTGTTACAAAGTACAGATCAGTGAATAGTAACCGCTGGTCTCTCTGTTGTCACCCTGTGTGTGTTGGCTGGGTCGTCTGCACCACAGCCTTGGAGGTGTAGGGATCCCTGAGCCCTACCATGGGGATATGGTGGGCTGTGGTGTCCAGGGGCTCAGCGAGTGCTGAGAGCTGTGTGGTGAGTGTTTCCCTCTGTGCCCTAGCCAGGAAAGACTATAAGGTGTGTACCATTGCCTTGAGCATGATTTGAAGAAAACAAGAGTAGAGTGGGTGGAGACAAGGATGAAAGTCAAGGTATCTTTAAATATATGCTAAACATTGCTGTTTACATATTCAAATTAGTTGGGCAGAAGGCTAGTCTGAAAGCACTGTTTTTAAATAGTGTTATTTCTCTCTGGTAAACTGCATGTGGCTGTCTCTTGTGACTTTCCCCATCTGTCTGGAGTCATTTTCCCTGTGCTTTATCCCCTACCTCCCAGTGCAGGTTCTGCTGGGTAAGGCCTATTCTGGCTCTGTTGTCCATTCAGCACACAACACTGGTGGTCAGTCCTCCACCACTAACAGGGTGGATTTTCCATTCCTTGATGCTCTTTGAGGGCTCTTCCCATGCATGTGTCTTTGTCTTTCCAGCCCAGTTTGTAGAAGTCTTAAGAGCAAGGACTTCAGCTCCGAAGGTTCAAGATAGTGGCCCGCTTGGCACGTCCATCTTGGGTCCTCTCCAGTAGGACCTGGCCACCGAAGGTACCAGAGAGTCTTGATTATGTTTCTTCCTGCATGTGGCCCTGCTGGATGCTTGAAAAAACAAAGTCATGTTGAAATGCCACCGCTCTTCTCCCAGATTTCCTGCCTTGTTCATCCAGTCACCCCTTCAGGGAAACTCACATGTAGTGGTACTGGTGAGGGGGGTATCTTTCTCTCTGTCCCCACATGTGAGGACCAGCCACATTGACACTTCTTACATTTCCCAGGGCTTCTCCGAAGGGCTGGTCCCTGTGGTTTTTGTCAGTTTCTCTGTCACCACCCCCCAGAAACGACTGCAGAAGACCAGAACATTGAAGCCAGCGATTTCTGTTTGGAAATAGGGTCGTCTTCTGCCGCTGACCCCCATCAAATCCCATCATGCCCACAGCCCTGTGCCCTCGAGTCTTGGCTCCGAAGGAAAGCGAGGAGCCCAGGAAAATGAGGAGCCCACCTGGAGAGAACCCTTGCCCCCAGGGGGAGTTTCCCAGCCCTGAGTCCTCCCGTCGCCTCTTCCGCCGTTTCCGCTACCAGGAGGCAGCAGGCCCCCGGGAGGCCTTGCACCGACTCTGGGACCTGTGCCGGGGCTGGCTGCAGCCTGAGAGGCACACCAAGGAGCAGATCCTGGAGCTGCTGGTGTTGGAGCAGTTCTTGACCATCCTGCCCCGGGAGATACAGAACTGGGTGCGGGCCCAGGAGCCTGAGAGTGGCGAGCAGGCTGTGGCCGCAGTGGAGGCACTGGAACGGGAGCCGGGGAGACCCTGGAAGTGGGTGAGCGGAGGGGGTAGAGCCTGGATGGGGAGGGAAAGGGGCTGGGAAGCCCCGTGCCCCCGTGCTTTGGCGGTGTCTTGCATCCCCTGTCCTAGGCTAAGGAATTCTGTCTCAGTCCTTGTACCTTGGTTAGGCACAGACTAGAGTTTGGTTTCCTAAGAAAACAAGTTTCGCTCCCTAAAGGCCCTAATTTGAGTATGATTGTGTCATCCCTCTTTACAGCCCTGTGCAAGGCCCCCGGTGAGCCTTTTGTGGTCAGCTGTGGAGTTAGTGCTCAGCAGGCCCAGGGAGGGAGTGGGGGGTGGTTCTGCCCAGTGCCTTGCAGATCCCACTGGCCTGACCCTGGTTAGGGATCTCTCCACCCAGCCCTGAAAAACTCTCTGGGATTGCAGCTCAAGCACTCTGAAGACCCTGTGGTGATTGACGATGGGGACAGCCATCCAGACCAGGACCAGGAGCCAGAGCGGCTGCCAGGGGAACCCCAAAGCAACCTTACAAAGTGCCAAGACATCCAGCCCATGGCCATGGCACAGGGCCTGGGCCTCACAGGCAGACTGCCAGGCCAGCTCAGCGGGGACCCAGGTATGCAGCCCATGGGACTATGGGAGTGGTGAAGTGGGACTTACATACCCCATCCTGTGCTTTTAGTGGTTTTTGTTAAGATGATGGCCCTTTATATCAGCAGTATTCTCCCGTCGCTGAGGAGCTGTGAGCTATTATCAGGGTCTAGATTCCTCCCTAGAGCGATTGAATCAGAATCTCATGAAAATGTTTGTCCTCTTCATAGTGCTAGGTCCTCCCAGAGGAAATTCTTCTGTAGGTAGGTGTCTTTAAGGTTGTGCCACCTTATCTCTTTGAGGGTACATCTCTGTGGGCTTTGTTGGTTTGGGGACAGCCAGGGACTGTCACTGTACCACCAGGGTCCATGGCATGAGCTGAGCATGGCCATGTCTCTCAGAACCTCTATTTCCTTGGCTAAACAACTCCTGCTTGCAGGATCATTATGATGCAGGAAGGAGATATAAAAATGCTTTGGAGGGTAAAAGGTGTTATATTCAGTGTATGGGGCCTGAATGTCACCTAGGTATGGTTTTGAATATCTATACAAAGTGCCCCAGTTGGCTACAGGCAAGTAGTTTTGTCACCAGAAAAGCTTGACTTTGTATTTCTAGGTATTAACTTGGGCATGCTTGTAAGCCCTCTAAGCCTTGGTTTCTTCCTTTGTCTGGTACAGCTATTAGTTACCTTTTTGCGTTTTTTGAGGATTAAATGAGATACAATTTGTAAGATGTTGAGTGCAAGGCCTGAATGGCCCGTAAGTTTAAGTTGAAGTAATTATCATGGGAAGTTGTGGCACCTTCATGCTGAAGGAAATCTGTGGCATGTGTGTGAGTCTTGGTGGACTTGCCAGTTCGCTCCATAGTTCCCATGGAAGAAGAGAGTTTGGGAAGCCAGGAATGCATTCTTTTGATTTGCAGAAGTTGTGTTTGGCATTATAATAAGCTTCTCAGTAAATAAATAAGTAAAGCCTATTAAATTTCTCTGTGCAAAACTATACTGACTTCTGTACAAATCAAATAAACTCTTCAACCTCTCCTTGGTTAAAAGTCAGAACAGTTGTGTTAGTTTGTTTCAGCTGCCGTAACAAAGTACCACAGACTGGGTAGCTTTACATAACAAATTTACTCTCATAGTTCTGGAGTCTACAAGTCAGAGACCAAGCTGACAGCAACATTTGGTTCTCCTGAGCTCTCCTTGGCTTGTACACTGCCGCCTTCTTGCTGTGTCCTCACATGGTCCTCCCTTTGTGTGTCTGTGTCCCAATTTCTTCTTATAAGGACACCAGTCATATTGGCTTAGGGCCCAGCCTAAAGACCTCATTTTAACCTAAAGAGCCTATCTCCAAATATAGTCACATTCTGAGGTACTTGGGGATTGGGACTTCAGCATATGAATTTGAGGGGTACACAATTCAGCCCATAACAACAGGCATAAGGGAAGCAGCCACTTGCCCAAATAAAAAAATGCATGTATAAGTAGTCTGAGTTGTGCACGAAGTGGTCGGCCATAGGAGGGATCCTGTCGTGGAGTACAGGAAGATACTCAGAAGGAGTGGGAGGAGATTCAGGAACCAAAACAGCCTATGTAGGTGCTTCTTGGTGAGGTTCTGAGATAAGCCAGCAACCACGGAGGGGATTTGGGTCAGCTCTTTATTTCCATAAGGAACAATCAATAGACAAAGTAGACTTGATGAGAGTTAACAATCTGGAAAACCTTAAACATTAGGGCAATTTATCATTGGATGAGCTACCAGTTAGAGCCATATAGTTCCTACTCTTGAAGATCTTCCACAAAATCTGGATTTTATGTAGGGACTAGAGTTTTCCAATGTGATTCTCAAAAGTGTCCCTGTATTCATTTATCCTGGCCAAAGGTAAGGTGGGGCTGTCGTCCATCTCCCAGAAGGTGGCAGGAGGGAGCAGAATTACAATACCCCTTCCTCAAGATGTTGGTCAAAGGGTACAAAGTTAGGATGAATAAATTCTGAAGATATATAGTGACTATAGTTAAAAATAATGCATTGTATACTTAAAAATTGCTCAGAGTAGGTATTAAATGTTCTCATCACAAAAAAATGTCAAGTATATGGGGCCGGCTCGGTGGCGCACTGGATGGTGCGCCGCTTGGGAAGCGCGGCGGCGCTCCCATCCGAGGGTTCGGATCCCACATACAGACCGGCTCCCGCTCACTGGCTGAGCGAGGCGCGGGAGCAACACCGAGGCTTGCGATCCCGTTGCCGGTCCCCGGTCCGGTACGGGGGCAACACTGAGGGTTGCGATCCGTTGCCAGACACGGACAAAAGACAAAAAAAAAAAAAAAATGTCAAGTATATTGGGTGATGGATATGTTAATTATCCTGATTTAATCATTCCACAGTGTATGCATATGTCATAACATCACATTGTACAGTTTTTGCACACAAAATATACAATTTTTATTTGTCAGTTATACCTTAATAAAGTTGGGGGGGTGAAAGTAAATAAAATAAAAAGGATGAACAAATAAACCTTAAGATTGAACATGCACATAAAAAAATACTTCCTCCTCAAATCTTCACCCACCTAGCCCGAGCATCCCTTTCAGGCAGCAAAGAGGCTGCTTTACACCCAGATTGTCACTGCCACCTGCATCGGCTGCTTTCCCAGTCCTTTGTTCCAAATATCTACTCCTGCACCTGTTCTTTCCTAAAGACTTTGCATCCCAGGTCTGATAGGTCAGGGAAACTAGTTTCTGATGTTAGCATTGGTATTGACTTAACATGTTACCTGGGGTTAACCTGTAGGATTTTTCTCTACACTGAAAGACTGTGGTGCAGTTTTCCAAGTCTTATCCTGTAAAAGGAGCACCTTTTGAAACACAAAGCTCATTTTTACATAGCTGCACCATTGGCCAGGTGTGAGGCTCACTGCTTACAGAAGCCTGAAAAGGCGTAGTTGCCGATCAGAGGAAAGAAAATATTAGAACATGGTAGAGAGGAACTGACTGATTAGCTCAGTTGGTTAGAGAGTGGTGCTGATAACACCAAGGTCCAGGTCCAGGGTTCAGATCCCTCTCCTGGCCAGCTACCAAAAAAACAACATGAGTAAGGAAGGGTGATATGGGTTGAATATGTCCCCCAAAAGTTCATGTGTTGGAAATTTGATCCCCATTGTAACTGTATTAAGAGGTGGGAAATCTGATTATGATACTTGAAAGGTGGGGCCTTCAGAGGTGATTGGATCCTGAGGACTGTGCCCTCTTGAATGGATTAATCCATTTATGGAATGATGGGTTAATGGGTTATCAGGGAGTGGTTCTGATGGCTGAATAAGGAGAGCAAGAGAGAAGGCTAGATCTCTTGCTCACGCCATGCTCACCACATGATACCCTGGTCGCCACGGGACTCCCACCAAGAAGAAGGCCCTCACCAGATGCACCCCTGGACTTTGGACTGCCCAGCTTTCAAAACTGTAAGAAATAAGTTCAATTTCTTTATAAATTACCCAGTTTCAGGTATTCTGTTGCGAGCAACAGAAAACGGACTGATACAGAGGGTGAGATGGTTCCAAAGCCACTTTTGTATGATGGTGGTCAGGGCACTGCTCCAAATGCTCTTCCAAGAGTGCCTAACAGTGATAAAACTCTATTCTTTACTTTAAAAAAAAATCTTTTTATTGACAAATAAAAAATGTATATATTTATTGTGTACAATGTGATGTTTTGACATATGGATACATTGTGAAATAATTAAATCAAGCTAACTAAATCAAGCTAATTCATTGCTTTACATACTTATCAACTTAAGGTCTACTTTGTCCACCCATCCAGTGAAAGTAAAATAAAAAATAATTTTAAAAAAATTTACTCGGCAATTTTCAAGTACATAATACATTGTTATTAACTATAGTCATCATGTTGTACAATATTATCTCCTGAACCTGTTCCTCCTAACTGAAATTTTCTGTCCTATGACCAACATCTTCCCAATTTCTTCATATCCCAGCCTCTGATAACCATCACTCTACTCTCTGCTTCTATGAGATGGACTTTTTTGAAATTCCACATATAAGCAAGATAAGATAGTGTTTGTCTTTCTGTGACTAGCTTATTTCACTTAGCGTAGTGTTCTCCAGGTTCATACATGTTGTCACAAATGACAGGATTTCCTTCTTTATTAAGGCTGAGTAGCATTCCGTTGAGTATGTACACCACATTTTCTTTATCCATTCATCTGTCAGTGGACACTTAGGTTATTTCCATATAAGGTTATTTCCATATATTGGCTATTGTAAATAGTGCTGCAGTGAATATGGAAATGCAAATACCTCTTCAACATACTGATTTCAGTTCCTTTGAATATATACACAGAAGTGGGATTCACTGGAATATATGATAGTTCCATGTTTAATTTTTTAAGGAGCCTCCATATGATCTTACATAATGGCTGTACTAATTTATATTCCCATCAACACTGTACAAGTGTTCTCTTTTCTCTGCATTGTCAGCAACACTAAATGTATAAATTTATATGACGCTGGAGTCCCAAAATGATTCTCACTGCCAACAGCCCTTATTGATACCTCAACTAGGTAGAGTTTTAACCTTTTTTTTCCCTGTATTTCAGATGACAAAGCTGAGGTCCCTGGGCCTGCCAGGAGTCGAATAATTATTGGCAGTGCCAACTTGAACCCAGGCATTCTCTCTTTTAGCCCCCATTGTTGTATCTGAAAACAAAGTAACAGAAACTCTTGTAATGTGCAAAGTGCTTTGCATGGGCATCATTTTGTAATCCTCATTTTATAGGTGAGAACAGAGACCTGAGGTTTTATAAAAAATGCCACGAAATGGCTCTGTGTTGGTGTCTCTCTTGTGGTTTTCTTTGCTTGCCAAAGTTGAAGTGGAGAAGAGCCCCAGGGAACTCAGGAGGTGTCACTGCCAGGCCTGGCCCCCTTTGGGACACCCTTTTTCCATCTCTTGCAGTTCCACAAGATGCCTTTCTTCAAGAAGAGAGTGTGAGGGATGCACAGCTGATGACCACCCTCCAGCTGCCTCAGGTGAGTGATTTCTACAAGAGTCCTGGAAAATCCCACGTTTGCCTCTCTGTGCACTACAGGGCAGCTTTCCAAGGACCCCAACCAGCTTGCTGTCTACTACACAAGATATTCAGCCTTAGCCAGAAAAACTAAAACAGGCAGGACATGAGCTTATAAGACACCCCATCTCTCTTCCATCCCTCACAGTCCTAGCTGCTCACTGGGCTGACTGTCGGGTCACCTTCACCTTTGGGAAACCTTGTGCAGACAATGATGGCAGAAAACGAATGCCCTTGAGTCCACATCAATCACCTTCAGCATTTCTAGGATCCCTTTCTATGAATAAAGGAGGCCTCTCTGCTCTTTTATTAAATATGATTTTTTTAATTTAAAAATCCTCATAGCAGTAGCTGTATTTCAGAAATGTTAGGAAGTGGAGGGAAGAAAACACAGATAATTTCAGTACCATCACAACGGTGTGGTGAGCTATTAGTGAATTTCCTTGGCACATTCCCCATTCATGTTTCCATGAAAGGTTTGCATACTCAGAGCTGCAAGCTAGTCTGGCAAGTCTCTTACTCATCTCTTTCTGGCCCAGTTGCTGCTATTAGCCATGGTTTCTGACCATATCCCCTTCATCTTTCCTTCTAACACTTTCCACTGGCTGGCATGATATTTAGTCATTACAGCATCATCTCCTCCCACGAGAATGTGGGCTTCGTGGAGATGTGGAATGTGTTTTATTTTTTTTCCAGTTGATAGAAGGTTGTATGAAGAACAGTAGACACACTATTAACGTGTCTCAGCAGAATGTAGGAAGCTGAAGAGTTTGCCTTCTGCACAGATTTTTCAACATGAGTTTTAACTTGGAGTAGGGAGGGCCAGTGATGGGAAGGAGTCAGCCAGGTGTATTAGTCCGTTTCTGTTGCTCATAACAAAATCCTTGGAACTGGGTAATTTGTAAGAAAAAAAAGTATTGCTTATAGTTTCAAAGGCTGGGCAGTACAAAGTCCAGGGAACACGTCTAGTGAGGGTCTTCCTTTGTGGTGGCTTCAGAGACACAGGGTATCACATTGTGAGATGGCAGAAGCAGAGAGAGAGAGACTTTCACATGCTCTCCTTTTAAAACCTTCAGAACCATGCCCACTATTCCAGGAATGGATTAATCCATTCATGAGGGTACAGTCCTCACAATCTAATCACCTCTTCAAGGCTCCACCTTTCAACTACCACCATAGCATTTCCCACCTTCTTAACACTGTCACAGTGGGGATCGAGTTTTGGGGGGACATTCAATCCAAGGCAGCAGGTCACCTGGGGCAGGGGACGTCTCTTTCTTGCCCTTCTGCTATGCCAAAGCTGCGGCATGCACCCATGTACCCTGATGCTCAATACATACATTTCAGCATCTACTGTGCCATGTGACCATTGCAAAACACAAATGATGCAAATGAGGTAAAACCCATATTTCTTATTAAAATCAGTACTTTTAACCAGCATAACACACAAGGGGTTGCTGTGAATTTAATACCTAATGAGGTCTGATATTCATCTTTGATTTCCTCTGTGTCTCCACTAAATGCCATAGTGAACACAGTACATAGATTTTGATAAATCAGTGTTATTTTATCACTCTGTTGAAGACATAGTTTCTGCCCAGTGCACTAAAAGTCAGCATCATGTAGATCTTACTTTTTAAAGTTTTTTTTTTTAAATTTTTGTTTCATTGTGGTAAAACACACATAGCATAAAATTTTCCATCTTAACCATTTTTAAGTGTACAGTTCAGTAGTGTTAAGTCTGTTCACACTGTTGTGCAACAAATCTCTAGAACTTTTTCACCTTCCCAAAATGGGAAACTCCTCACCCATTAAACAGTAACTCCCCATTTCCCCTTTCCCCCAGCCCCTGGCAACCCCCATTCTACTTTCAGCCTCTATGAATTTGACTCTACATATTTCATGTAAGTGGAATCAGGCAGTATTTGTCTTTTTGTGACTGTCTTATTTCATTCAGCATAATGTCCTCAATGTTCATCCATGTTGTAGCATGTGACAGAATTTCCTTTCTTGTTAATGTTGAATAATATTCCATTGTATGTATATAACACAGTTGTTTATCCATTCACCTGCTGATGGACACTTAGGTTGCTTCTACATTTTGGCTATTCTGAATAATGCTGCTATGAACAAGGGTGCTTGTAAAGTTTCATTTTTCTTTTTTCTTTTTAGATAATTGTAGATTCACATACATTTGTAAGAAGTAACAAAGAGAGATCCCTTGAACTTTTTATAGTTAATGGTAAAATATATAGTAAAAATCTGTCTTGTAAAAATACAATACAGTATCACAACCAGGATATTGACATTGATACATACAAAATACAGAAAATTTGTTTCAACAGAAGGATCCCACCTGTTGCCTTTTATAACAACCCACGTCTTTCCCACTCTCACCCTCCCATCAGTCTTTGGCAACCACTACTCTGTTCTTCATCTCTACAATGGTGTCATTTCGAGAATGTCACATAAATGGGTTCATACAATGTGTAATCTTTGGGGATTGGCTGTTTTCACTCAGCATAATTCTGTGGCGCTCCATCCACGTTGCTGTGTGTATCAGTAGTTCATTCCTTTTCATTGCACAGTAGTATTTCATGGTGTAAAAGTATCACATTTCGGGCTGGCCCGGTGGCGCACTGGAGAATGCGCCGCTTGGGAGTGCAGCGGCGCTCCCACCGAGGGTTCGGATCCCATGTGGAGACCGGTTCCCGCTCACTGGCTGAGCGCGGTGCGGACGCAACACCGAGGGTTGCGATCCCGTTGCCGGTCCCCAGTACAGGCGCGACACTGAGGGTTGTGATCCCGTTACCGGTCAGTAAAAAGGACAAAAAAAAGGAAAAAAAAAAAAAAGTATCACATTTCATTTAACCATTCACCTGTCGAAGGACATCTGGGTTGCCAGCTTGGGGCCTTTATAATGTAAAGCTGATATAAACATTTATGTACGGTTTTTGTGTGAACATCAGTCTTCATTTCTCTTGGATAAATGCCCAGGTTTGCAATTGTTGGGTTGTATGGAAAGTGCATATTTAGTTTTACAAGAAACTGCTACATTCCAGAGTGGCTGTGTCACTTACATTTCTACCAGCAATGTATGAGTGATTTACGTTCTCCACATCCTTGCCAGCATTTGGTGGTGTTACTGTTTCTTGTTCCTTCGTTTTTAGCCATTCTGATAGGTGTGCAGTGATACCTCATTTTGGCTTAAGTTTACATTTCCATAACGGCTAATGATGTTGAACATCTTTTCAAGTTCTTGTCTGCCATCTCTATATCCTCTTCTGTGAACTGCCTCTTCATGACTTTTGCCAGTGATCTAATTGGATCATTTTCCTTTTTCCACTGTTGAGTTTTAAGAGCTCTTTAGGTATTCTAGATACTCATCCCTTGTTGGATAAGTGTTTTGCAAATATTTTCTTCGACTCTGTAGCTTGTTTTTCCATACCCTTACTGGGGTTTTTAGCAAATCAGAAGTTTTTAGTTTGGATTAAGTCCAATTTGTCAATTTTTCCTTCTAAGGATCATGCTTTTTTGCCTAGTCCTAGCCCCTAAAGATTTTCTCCTATGTTTTCTTCGAAAAGTTATATAGTTATACATTTTACATTTAAGCTCATGATACATTTCAGTTCATTATCTGTGATCCAATTTGCTTTTAATTCCATGATTTATACTTGTATAAAGTATGAATGAGACTTTGGTTGAGGTTTTTTTTTTGTCCAGTCGCTCCAGTACCATTTGTTGAAAAGGCAGTCTTTCCTCTATTGAATTGCTTTTGCACCTTTGTCAAAAAGTTGGGCATAGTTGTTTGGGTCTATTCCTGGATGCTCTCTTCTGTTCCATTGATTTATATGTCTTTGCTTCCACTAATACTACACAGTTTTGATTACTGTAGCTATGTGTTGTCTTGAAATTGTACAGACTTATTCCTACCATTTCTTCATCAAAATTATTTAAGCTACTTTAATCCCTTTGCCTTTTTGTATGAATTTTAGAATAATCTCGTCCATATCTATGAAAAGTCTCACTGAGATTTTGATAGAAATTTTATTAAACCTGTATTTCAATTTAGGGAGCATTGACATTTTTACTAACTTGATAGTAAATGTAAATTTCAATCTGTGAATGTAGTATGCCTCTCCATTTATATAGTTCTTTGATTTCTTTAATCAGTGTTGTGTAGTTCTCAGCATACAGTTCCTGTATGTGATTTGTTAGATTTATCCCTAAGTAATTCAGTTTTTGAGCAATTGTGAATGGTATTGTATATTTAATTTTGATGTCAGCATATTTGTTTCTAGTATATAGAAGTGTAATGGTTTTTGTTACTATATTTTTTATTCTGTGGCCTTGCTGAATTCACATATGAGTTCAAGGAGGATTTTTTTTAAATAGATTTCTCTGATTCTTTTTTTTTTTTTTTTTTCAAGGTCATCATGTCATCTGCAAATACATAGAGCTCCCTTCCTTCCTTTCCAATTTGTGCCTTCTGTATAGGTTTTTGGGTAAATTCTCTTAGATCAAGTTAAGGAAGTTCCTCAATTCCTATTTTTCTGAAAATTTTTATTATGTGTGCGTGTTGAATTTTATGATTCAGTTGATATCATGTGAATTTTCTTCTTTAACCTGTTAATACTGTAGATTACATTAATCAGTTTTGTTTTTTTTTTTTTTTTAATTATTGAACCAGTCTTGCATTCCTGGAACAAACCCCTTGTCATGGTGTAAACTGCTATTTATATATTGCAGAATTTGATTTGTTATTATTTTGTTCAAGATTTCTGTACCTACATTCATGAGGGATATCGGTCTGTGGCTTTCTTTTTCTTTACTGTCTTTGTCTGGTTTTGGTATCAGGTTAATACTAACTTCATAAAATAAATTGGAATATGCCCCTTTCTCTTATTTTCTAGAAGAGATTGTGTAAAATTGGTGTTAATTCTTTGAACATTTGGTAGGGCT